GCGGTGATGACTATGGCGGCGGAGCATGTGGGCTTACCGCTCCCCCCACCGGTGAGCCGCCTACGTCAGGGCTTCTACGGCCCGGCCCGTCCGGCGCAGCCGGCCTTCGTTTCACCCCCCCCCACCTCGTCCTGCCATGAGGGATTTGACGGCAGGTCAGCCTTTTCTCAGCCACTAATGTTGCGGTTTTTATGAGGGGTCAGGAGTCTGCGCCCAGTAGTGCACGCCCCGCAGTGGGACCTGCCGCTGGTGCTCGAGGCTCTGGTCTCAGAACCATTTGAGCCCCTGGAGCTCTCCTCCCTGAAAGCACTGTTGTGGAAGACAACATTGCTACTTGCCTTAACATCAGCCAAAAGAGTGTCCGAGTTAACCGCTCTATCGGTGCACCCGAGTTGTTTGATGATCCGGGGTGACCGGAGCGGGGCGACACTCAGACCGAACCCCTCCTTTGTGCCCAAGAGCCTAAGGAGTGCGTTCAGGTCGAGGGCTATTCAGTTGGGGGGTTTTAGTCTTCCCCCCCATAGTGGGGCGAGGGAGGCTAAATTGCACCTTCTCTGCCCGGTGCGTGCGCTAGCGTGTTATGGCTCTGCGAGTGCATTGCACATGCCTACGGACAGGCGGGGAGAGCCTTCCCCACGGGGGTCCGTGCACACTCTACACGAGCTATGGCTGTATCAACCGCTTTATCTAACGGCGTGAGTGTGGAGGACATATGCACGGCGGCGTCTTGGTCAACGCCAGGCCCCTTCATAAAGTTTTATCTCTTGGACATGTCTGGCTCCTTTTCATCGTCTGTGCTTGCTGGGGCAACGCAGGACTGGTGAAGAGGGAGGGGGGTTGTGGGTCAGTGGGCATCTGACCCCCTCCCCGGGCGTAATGTGCTTACGTGACGCGCACTGGGCCCATAGGGGCTGGAGGACTCCACGTCATAGCACACCTCCGCGGGGTAAGCGCGTCAGGGTGTGCTCTGTCAGCCGCAGCCCCCCCTAGCAGCGGCTGCTAACCAGAAAGCCGGTCAGAGACAGTGAGATGGAACAGTGTTGTTGTCTGACGACAGCGCGTGTGTATACATCGGGGCTCCGCCCACTATACCCATAGAGTCCAGTAGAGGGCGGAACCTGTGAGAGATATAACGAGGGGTTACGTATGGTAACCCTTGTTATATAAACACAGGCGGAGACCTCTACTCAGGGGCCCTGTCTGCCCTATGCTGCTCGCTGAAGAGAAGTGTATGACAGTCATGAGGCGAGGCCTCCTTTTATGCGGTGAGATGCGCGCGCATTCAGGTAGGCCCGCCCCGGGGCCGGTTACATCTAGAAAGTCTCAGTGGATGAATGCTTGCATGATAGGATCAAGGGGAGTACCCATAGAGTCCAGTAGAGGGCGGAGCCTGTGAGAGATATAGCAAGGGTTACCATACGTAACCCCTCGTTATATTACGGTATTTTATTAAGAAATTCAAATTTATGGTGAATTACCAGCTGATGTGGTTTCCAGAAAAGCCTTGCAAAAAATAGGGTAAAATACATTACAAATTACAGTAGAATTGCTTATGGTAAATTACAATGGCAAAAAACAAATAAAGCTCACAACTCAATAGGTTTTCATTTCGGTATATTCTGTGTTGTAGTAAAAAGAAAACCACCATAGTTGTCCTAGTCACAAATGCTGTTAATTATTTTGGCAGTTTTCAACTACTGATTTTGAAAACTGAGAATTCAAACATTGAGAAAACTAATATTTACTTTTTAACTTGCTGTGTTGTGTAGCTTTGGAGCAATCCCTCTCAAAAGTAACTCATTAGAATACCTTCAACATCAAGCCTAATAGAGTTTGAGAAAGAAAATCCTAAGAGTAACTGATTTCTTATCATGGTTTTACCTCCAACAAGTAATCTTATTACAAAATAGTATCAATCAGGGGGTAATATTATGTGTATTTACTTACTTTTGGTTCATTTTGCTAGTATAAAGCATCACAGACTGACCTACTGACATCTCAACTCCAACAGTCACGTCTGGCTGCCATGCAGAGGCTTAAGGTTAGCTTTAGGATTAGCTCCAGGTTAAAGGTGTTGAGCGTTTTAAGAAGTTTCTCTGCAGATGTGTGTGGGTCAGGACCGGGACAGCAGCAGAGTGGCGGTCCGCTAATCCTCTCCTGGCAGTGGGAGAGGAGGACTCAATCCTTGCTGCTCACCCAGAAGGGAAGGGAAGACAGAAGAGGCAATGGAGAGTACCAGGGTGGGGCATGTGAATGAGAGAGAGGAAGCATCTTTGTTCAACACTGTGAACAAGTGTTAAGGCAAATTAACATCATTTTAGTTGTATACTTCTTCTGACAAAGAAACTTGGAGTAGTGTTCCAATACTCTTCAGCATTGTGAAATGGCAGATATCAAAGAGGCCCTATTATGCTTTTTGGGGTTTCCCTTTCCTGTGGTGTGTTATAGGTTTGTGTGCATGTAAATGGTGTGCAAAGGCTGAAATCCCAAAGGTCCCTCCAGAAGGAGTTTCTCACCCACACAATCCCCCTCCTGCCTGAAACGCCTTCATTTCATTCCTTTTACAGTAACATAATGACATCACTATGTAACATGCACGCTTCTATTGGCTAGCGCTCCAACACATTGAACGTGATAGGCTAAGGGGCGGGATATCTCTAAGCGGTTGACCAATCAAAACAGAGCCGGCCAGCTAACCAATCAGAGCAGACTGGGCTCTGGTTTCAGACAGAGGGTGAAAAGAGGTGCTGCAGTATGAGAAACGTAAAGCTTTTTGAACGTTAAAGAAGGTAAACATGTCGCAATAGAGGCATGAAATACAAATATGAACCTGAAAATGAGCAGAATATGTCCTCTTTAAATATTTCTCAGTATGTATTGATGTATAACCTTTCTCTATTTGATACAGTAAAGGCTGTGGCTTCAGTTCAGCCTTCACACAACACATGACACATCAGTGCTATGTTTTCTCATTAGGAGTCACTGGAGCATCATGACATGAATGATGATATTCACACACAGATCACACAGTCACATACTGACACTCTCACACACACACACACACACACACACACACACACACACACACACACACACACACACACACACACACACACACACACACACACACACACACACACAGAGAGAGAGAGAGAGCTCATAACGATTGATCCCACACTTTAGTCCAGCCTGATCGATACTCCTTGTTTTTTCTGCTTGCTGCTCGGATCCTGGCTGCTGAGCAAAGTTCTCTGAGCCTCATCTGGGCTGCACGTCAGGCTTCTGTAGCAAAACAAAGGACTCTCTGAGGGTTCACTGCCTCTGTGCAGAGCAGGAAATCACAGCTATGTAATGTCAACTCTAAAGTGCTTATAAGGTAGGAAATAAACAATTGAAACAAGTTCCCAAACATTAACAGAAACTCTCATTTCATATTCACAGGAAATAATCTGCCAAATTTGGAATCAAGGATTATTATTAAACTTTTCGGTTAGAGCAACAAGCTTTTTCTTCTCATCTTTCTTCAGCTGATCTGAAAAATCCCCAAATCTGGAAATACTAAGTGAAACTAAGCTCCATTTTGTCTCTCCTTCACAGAAGACCTGCATAATCTATTCATCCATTTCAGTAATACACAGAATGTATTTTATTCGCAATATATCTTCCAGTATGGTAGTGATCATTTAACTTCACAGGATTTCTGTGTATTATACAAATGTTTAAACTTGCTTTTTTCCGGAGCTAATAATGTGCAAAGTGCCTTTACTGCAGTTTAAGAGTGTTCTTAAGTAATAGCTGACACGTATTTTCCTCACATAAAAATAGAACATATGAAGAATGTTCCATATTAGAGGATGTATCCCTCATGTTGTCCTCTCAGCGGCTGAAGCGGCTCTTTACACGCAGGAGACGGCAGATAAGCTGTGGAGCTGACAGGCTCCTCGACACCTCAGCAAAAAGTCTGACAGAGGCTGAGACAACACAAAGCCCAGGTGACACACACACAGTGGCAGGTCAAAGTGTGTGTGGGTTATTACTCTGTGTGTAGGTTGTTGCGATTCATGATCCAACATGTGTATTTATCCAACTGCAGAAATAATTATTTACAACAATTATGTGGATAAAATAGAATTTCTTTACATTTGTAATGATAAAGCTACTTGCAAATGACAGGGCAGTACAAGGTTTGGTAGGTTTAATTCGTACCTCTTCACTTAAGATTTCATTAAAATCATGTATTTTATTGTTATATTATAGTTATTTTATAATAATTGTTACTTTAATAATTGTATTCAAAGTTGAGTCAGCGATTCTGTATAACCCAAACTACATTTCAAAAATCAGCATCCCTCTTGTTCCAACCCATGTATAGATCCAAGGCCTCTCAACTGTGCTGGCTGGAAATATATAGTTTGAGTCATTTAGTTTGTTACAGAGCCAGGGTTGTGTATGAGCTTTTTTTCAGGCAGGTAGTGACTGTGAGGAAATTCCCTGATTTCACCAAAAAGAGAAAGTGTAGTGGATTGGAGTTGCTGTCCTTAAACCTTTTCTTTTGTAATATGTCAGTGAGTGCATTATGCATTTTTATTTCGGTATATTCTTGACTAAATTTGATAACCTCAAAGAATTGAGGCAGCTAATGATACCTTATCCAACCCCATCTGCAGTTAAAAAAACTCAAGGCAAGTTTTAAACTTAAATTATTATTTTACAAAATACGTTATTTTGGAAATATTGTTATTTTATTCCACTGGTAGATATATCGTCTTGAGACGTATGAGACTAAATTACAGACTAAAGGGGCATTATTTTTCTCATTTTCAGGTTCATAATTGTAATGTGTGCCTCTGTCACATGTCGCCCCATGCTTTAATGTTCTAAAAGGTCTGTATTCTTCTCCTACTGCCTCTTTTCACCCTCTGTCTGAAACCAGAGCCCAGTCTGCTCTGATTGGTTAGCTGGCCGGCTCTGTTGTGATTGGTCAACCGCTTCGAGATGTGACGTACATGTTGGAGCGCTAGCCGATCTAAACATGTTTTACAGACTCAAGACTTTTCTTTTTGCTCCTGGTTATACTCCTCTCTTTCCAACATTGTAAACCCCATACCTTCCACCTAGTCAGAAGTAAAGAAAGATTAGCAGCCTTTGTATACAAAATGTTACACCTGATGGATTTCTGTGAGCTTTCATAATGAAAATCCAGGGAAAAGGCACTCTTTTTCTGAAAGACATTTTCTTTTTTTTCTTCAGCATCAGCTGGTAAGAAGCTTTTCTCTCCTCTTCTTAGCGCGTGGAATTAATTCATGTATAAAAGGCAGAATTAAATAGTTTGATAACCTAGTGTGACCTAACATAACCGTGAAAAGGTTGAGCCACTTAAGTATGCAGGGACAGAATGAATGAATACAATGGTGAATGAGTCGACAGGAAATCAATGAAAGAAGAAGAAAGGAAGAGAAATTATGAGAAATGACATTTTATGTAAGCGAACAAAACACTCTGTGCCAGTGTTGTCGATTTTACAATACTTTGAATGTCATTTATTTTAGATGTCAACCTTTTCCAAATGCACAATTCTTGTCTGAACTACCAACAACTAAGTGAATGAATTATGAATGAAAAATACCACACTGTCCACCTCAGCAGCGTCTCATTTACCTCTCCTCACCTGGTTTCCTGCCAGTTCTCCCAGCATCCTCTCTGAGAGCTGATTAGAGGCCCCTTCCTGTAGCAGAGGACGAGACAAGGACACTCCGTCTGCCACAGAGCTCTCAGACTCTGGGCTGCAGCTGGATGAAGACGGATGATCTAATCCTGCCAGGCGAAGGTGGGCTGAGATGGCCGCCTGCAAGGTGACAGTCACACAGGTCTTCATTTGATCAGGTAATCACAAACCCCTGGAGTTGTGATAGTTTAATTAGTTTAATTTACGATATTCTCACGCCAAGCGTTTTATTTGACCTCTGTGCCACCTAAAACAATTATGTCTGTTTTTGTTTGCACAATTTATCAGCTGTTTATCAAAATGAAACAGCCTCAGGAAATGATACCAGGGGAGAAAATGTGTCTGATAACTGCAGCAGTTTCTTCTTTTGCAATTTGTCATCAAATGCATTGATGCTAATGAGGGAAATGTATTGCAAAGTCTTACATACAGTAACTCACCAAAATACCACATTTCATTCACCTCCCCAAAACCTTGGGTATATTGCCTGTTTTGCTTGCCTGGTTGAAAAGGTAAGGTTCTGGTTATGAATTGAAGGGGCAATCTTACACCACAAATACAACAAGTAAAAGCAAAGAGGTCTTACCAGAAATCATTTCTGAGTATTTGTTGGAGTGTCTGTTTTTTTTGGTGTTAGAGATTATTTTGTTACACATTAATTTTCTAAAAGCGAAGGGTGAACTTGATGGTCTCCGGATGTCTTCACTAGAGGGCGCCACACAGCAGTGGGAGAGGACGCTCTGTACTTTCCCCACTTCTTTAATTGTGCGGGTCACTGGAGGCACAGTTCTGTTTTCCGAGACTTTTGCTCTTTTTGTATAATATATTTTTCCTGACAGTTTATCAATCTTTTCTTACACCTCTTTCCTTCCTGAAAAGCATCTTCTCTCTTCATACTCCAGCCTGTGGGATCATTTCACTGCCTCTTTTTTCAGTTTCTCTACACACCGTAGGTAAGAAGATTGATCAGTCAACACACAAAATCAACAATAATCCTAAAGGAATCATTATTTACCTCAAAGCATGCATGAAATTCAGATTTCTGAAGCAGACTTGATCATATCTGTAATGCCCTCCATGCTCTTGAGGCCTTTTCTATTTTTTACTTTTAAGTCACAGATGTTTAGTTTAGACATAAGGGTGTATCTAATCACGCTTTAAAAGTGCCACTTTCTATATATATATATTTCTATTATTATAACAAATATATTTATTGGCATCGGTTTTTCCAATACATTTACAAATGTTTACCCCTCACCCCCAAATTAAAAGTTACCAGCCATTATCATACTAAACCAAGTATTTAAGTAAATATACAAATAATAGTTCAAATAAACATCTAAAAAGAAAATCTTAAGTTAAATACATAATTAAATCAGAATGATGCCAATAGTTTTTTTGTAGGTTTTAATAGTGAGTTATAGTGAGGTAAACAAGAGGCTTTACATAGATATTAAATGTAGGACTGTCCTCCATTGTGCCACTGCCTTTATGATGGAGGAGTGAGACATGCAGATGCTCACCAGACTCGTTGTGGTGTCTCCACAGGTTTTATCGCCCACTCCCTTCGTCTGCTACTTGACCTTTGGGGTGCCTCTTTCTCTTTCCTTTCCCCCACATCCACTGTCAATTCCACTCTTTAATACGATGAAATGCTATAAATGTCATCAGCTTAAAATGAAATGATTAAAGGTCATCTCCATAAACAGTTTGAACCTCCTGGGGCAACCGGGATCTAATCATTTCTTGGGGAATGATAAAGAAAAAACGCAACATGAAAGGATTTCATTTGATTTCTAACTTTGGTGCAGCTTTTTGTTTGATACGACCCTCATTGTTTTCAGGAAAATCCTGCCTGCCTGCTGATTTCTGACTTGACTGTACATGTTACTAAATTCATAAATGTCTTTGTATGGTTATTTATTTATTTGTTTCCTGTATTTTCTTGTAATCCCCTTCTCTTAAAGACACGAGACAGCCACACAAAACAAGAACATCCCATGACAAATCATAAAGTACAGCTAAATCTGCATTATATAAAGTAAATGTCCTTTTATAAAGGTCACAATGCTCAGTACCAACCTAACATGTGCCAAAAAGAATCAGTATTTGGTCAGCATCACTCAAGTTATTTATATATTTGAAGAGACAGAAGAGAAACAATTATATCTTAAAATGAAATGTAAATGTCAGTAAAATCATTCAGAGTTGAGGGATCTCAAAGAAAATAGAGGTGCAGTCCAACATAAAAATGAATGATATGATTGAGAATAAGTGTGATGCTCTCTCAAAACCAAATGGAATCTTCTTAACCAGGTGTTTATATTGGGTACTTCAAGAATACATGTGAGCATGTGAATGTATCAAATACAAATGAAAAGGATACTGGGGGAAATAAGGTGCGTTACAATCATAAATATAAAACTGCTTCTTCAATGTACCTTTTCATATCAATAGACACATGCTGACACTGTAGCTATTATTGCTAAACAAATAGCTAAACAGTCTGAATAAAGAGGCAGTACGTTATAGCTTTCCAACACTACAATTATTGAGTTAAGTCATGACATTTGTTCAGTTTTGTGTGCAAGTCGTGGAATACCAGACAATATTACACTCTCTACGAAAAGTAGGGCAGCACAGTTTCACATAAAATAAGTTCAAACACGAGAGGAGTTAATCACAATTTGCAGTGAAAAATCGAACGGAGAGCAACAGTAAAAAAAATGTGTATGAGAGTAGGAAAGACGGGTCTCCATGATGGAAGAGCTTTGCCTTCACCAGAGAGAATCATGAACATGTTAGAGCCAGAAAACAACCTGTTCACACAATCTGAACGGCAGAAACAAACATATCAGATAGGAGAGGCCGAGACCTGAATTACTAACCAGCTGTGTAATCACTGGGGTTGTCATAGCAACCAGGTTTGGAGACCGCATGGCGGTTGTGGATCATGGGAGCCAGAACTTGTATAAACTGCAGGTATGAACACCATCACATGCACGTGCTGAAAATAAACGCACATTTACTTGAACTTGTGTATTGTTTTTCAAACATTCAAACTAACCTTAAGGCACATCTTGTTTTACAGACGGTCTCACCCCTGACAATGTTAACCTTCGACCCCGACCTGCGATGCCTGGCTTAGCGTGTCGTCCTGCCAAATGTCACACCCCCTGACATATTGATGCCATATGAAGAGAGTTCAGGCTCAGCGCATGAGAAGGTTGGATGTAATATTTATAGGCTGACCTTTACTTCACCCTGCAGCGACTAGTCTTAAAGAACTGCATGTTCATCTGCAGAGCATTGTGGGAACTCAACATGTCTCAGGTTTGAATCCCACCTGACTCATGTTGCCCATGTGTAAGGGTCACTCTTGGACTCAAATTTGATTAAGAGGTAAATTAGACTTTTTTTGAATTATTTTCTCAAAACCAACAATGAATGTATCCTACTAACAAATAGTGTATAGTGCTCTGTTGTTGTCAATAAACTATTACAAAACACAACAATGAGCCACACTGTTGCACTTGGACATATTACCCAAAACACATGCTTATTCGAACTCAATCCCAAATTCCAAAAATATAGGGACAAGATGTTGTAGGGTTTGAAAATAAAAAATGTGTAAATAAAATGTTATATTCATTTTCAGTAAAAGCCACTAAGTTTGTAGATGAGAGCCACAGACAGGAAGTCACAAAATCGTGAGGGACAGACTAAGACACTGATTGCTTTTGTGTTTTTATGGAAAATTGTTGACTGTCAGAGAATAACAACAGCTAGTAAATATCATGCTTTTAAATTGACCGACCATGCCCTTGTACATCTGTACCTGAGCAAATGCCAATTAAAAGTCTTGAATGTTTATTATGTGTTTTGCCACAAAAGGCGTGGCATCGTGAACAGCTTCAAAATAGCATAATAAGCACTTTATGTAAAGAACACAATCACAGCTATATGAAAATCCAATCCTAACACAGGAGACACCTTTAACCGTAACCAGTAATCCCTGAGGAAAAGGACTAGAGAGATGACTTGCACCGACTTGAAGGGCCAAGAGGTAATGAGAGTTCACATGTTTCATGATGAACAATGGATGTGTTTTTTCTGCATACGGCTGGGATTGATAACCAAAGGTTATTTGTCATATTGTCATTGACATTCTTCCAATCTATACTTGTCAGTTGGGCCCGGTTATGTTGCTTAATAAACTGCCCTGCCTACACCATAAATAACAGACTAGACAGATGTTGCTACATTGTGTTCCAACAGCACATCGACAGAGTATAATGGATGTGAATTATGATCTGTGAGAATCTAGGCCTGCAGTCTGATTATCTAAGAATAGACCTAGATAGTCTCTGTGCAGGGTACACAGGAGAGTTCAGAGAGATCAGGCTATCAATCAACAGACACATCACAACATTTGTCCTCGTCTCTTTTTGGTTTGGTTGAATAAAAATGAATGATATCCTTGTTTACGGAGTGTTAGGTTTCGCATGGATTTGGCGATTCATGAGGCTAAACGTGGATGTCTTATTATGTTGTAATACAGTATTCAACCAAATTTAGCAATGTTAGCATCGACCTCTAGAAATGTTTTGACCTTAACTTGTTTATCACGATTAAAAAAGAGTGACCGAATAAACTTTCTCATAGAAGTGTTTTATGTTCATTGTTATTCTTTTCTGTTACTTCAGGACTTTTTGCTACATGACCAAACATGAATATGCTGATTATGATTTCATCCATTTTATTGCAAAAACGTGCAGCTGCAGGGGAGCGCAGTGTTTGCTCTAAGTGCTCCTTGATTACAACACTCAGAGCCTGAGCTTCATGGAAAGATCACCCAGCAGGCCTCCAGCTATCACAGAAACACAAGAAACACACAGCAGAAAGTGACAAATGATATTCAAAACTACTTTATATCACTCGTACTTTCATATATAAGTAGGTCATTCATTACTTTGAATACCAATGTTATCTGCTTATCAGAATTATTTATTGATTTCCTAATGATTACTTTTGTTGCTCTTTGTGGGGACTTACAAATGAGTTTTTGCAATGCGCAACTATAAACAACTTAAATAAACAAATAACAAAAACAATTTGAAACAAGTTCTCAGCTGAAACAGATTTTTGCTTCTCAATTCCAGAGATGAGTCTAATGATTTGAGTACTAAAGAACATGTACTGCTAGGGACTAAATAAGGTCCACCCCTGGTTATCTTGTGAAGCTTTAGTCAATTATACAGGTGTAAATATGACTGTTGGCAGAGAAAGCTACATGACATAAAGGGATAAAACCATAAGGCAGCTTGACATTTCCTATCCACCTCCCCAGTGTGCATGCTGTGGTTCACGTAGCAGTGGCTCCACAGCATCACATGACTATTGGTGTCAAACACTGAACATGAGACAGGGGGGGTGGTGGGGGGGGGGGGGGGGGGGGGCTTGAGTGGTCTGGTTTTGGACTGAGTACCAGTAAAAAGATTAGATACAGTGGAAGCATCAGACAGACTTCAAACTAATGAATGCTGAAGTGCCAATAGCTTGTATTTCTTAATCAATGGTGCTACATTAAATCGGGTGCTTGCATGTATTGATGACGCTAAAGTGATGTAAAATAATAATATGATATGTAAATACGTTTATTTTGTAGGTTAGTTGGTTGGGTTAGTCTTTTTTGACATATTTACCTGTTGCATTGTTTTTTATATTACACAATGACCTGAAATCAACCCCTAGTATACTGTGTGGTAGGCCGTTGTCGCTGAGCAACTGTGCATCTCCTCCGCTGGAACTACTTTTCTTTGCGGAGGTTTGATTTTTATGAAAATAGGCCGTTATAAAACATCCAGTCGAAATAAAAGTGTTTTTACCGGAGTTCAAATGGGTTTGGTACTGTTGTATCGCTCATAGACGGCGCATTAACCTCTGTAAACTTCTTGTCTCGTGGTTTAAATAAATTATTTGGCAGGCAGCTGCACGGCACCTTGAAATTGTGAGGGGGGCGTGCCCGGCCGCGCGCCGGGGAGATAAATTCGGGGGACACCTCAGCTCGTCCCCCGCTCTCTCTCCCCCCTGCCCTGAGGACTGACAGACTGAGGTGCCTTCACAAACGGTACATTTACCTCTTCTCGTTTCCAGTTTGAATTAAGTTGTCAAAACTTTTGAATTATGAGAGTTAAGCTTTCATTTTGACGTGTTGTCAAAAAAAACGGACATTTCTGGGACCTCATTTTATAATTCCTGTCATTTGGTCTTCTAACTCGTCTGCATGTTGCTTCTATAACTTTTAAATAGCTTAAAAGGTCGAAGTATTTGTCAAGCAGTGCAATACGTTTTCTGAATTACTTTTTGCAGGATGCCCAGTGTTGTGTTGCTTTTGAAGAAACATGCATTAAATGTGTCTATTTACCTTTCAGTGACGACTAAGACCATATCAGACAAAATGGTGAAGATTGGAATCAATGGGTGAGTTAGTGTTTTTAGATTTTAGTCGCTATCATCATTTGCAAAACATTATCTCATTATTTGTCACCGTCTCCACTGGCATGCATTAGTCTCCAGAAAACAACAACAATCACTGAGTGCAGTATAATTGGTATGGCTCTGGAAAACCTAAAATGGGATGGTAAATAAGCAGATCTGTAAGGAGGAGTATTTGCAAACAAATAAGGTGGCTTTTATTAATAAATGTGCATGAAATAGGACAAGAATGCAAATAAGTAATAGGAAAATAACTTTCATAAATGTAACTTGATAGGGGGCAATGACCTTTTAGGCTGCAGGTTATGGTCTCCTGCAGAGTGTGTCTGATGTTTGCTGAAATGCTGCAGCATACACAACCTCTCCGGTTTACTGGACATTATTAACAGGCTTGTTATTTTTCTTAGCTGCATTTCTACTCGGAGCAATGTGATAAGAGGGCAAGTGTCAACCCTTCATTTCCTAAATCACTCATATAATAAGCATCCAGTTGCTGGCAGTATAAAGGTCTTCCATCCTCAGGACCCCGACACTGTTTCTGAGACCCTCGAATTATGATCTGTGCTGAGAGATTGTATTTGAATTAAAAGAGCATAATAGAGTCAGTTGAAAAGAGGATTAAATCATATACAATTATTTTTCTCTAAAAGATTAAGTAATTTATTATTTGGGCATCTTATAAAGAACATGTCAATTAATGACATCACGTACAATATTTACATGACATGCCAAACAACAGTGCAGTATTATAACTTAAAAAACTTAAATTATATTAAATGTAATAAATGAACAAAACACATAAATGCAAAATAAACATAAAGTCCCCCTTGATGCTGAATTGTCCTTGAGCAAGACACTGAAGTCCCTTTGGATAATATTCTTAAATAAATAAATGTATCATAAAATAAACTTTTTAATTTTATTTTTGGACAATCTCCTCCAACACATTTCTTAAAAGTGATGTTATTTGCCCTTTATGTGAGACTCCTTCTCTGAGTCAGTGCTGTTGGAGAGGGGTCAGGACTCTGGACAGGACCCGTCTATTCTCTGGTTATTTATAGTCGGGGTGGTGTTGTGTTGTCACGGTTGTCCTCCCCTCTTCTTCCACACCCCCCGTCAGACCCCTCCGATCCCCCCTCTGTCTGTACTGCTGCCCTCCTCAGCTGTCACATTCCTTTTTATTCTCCACTCGTCTATTTTTAACCCTCTAACCTTTCCGCTGGGTTTCAGGGATCATCCGGCCGGAGGTTTATAGGCGCTGCTCACACTTTGAGATCTCCAGTTAAACATTTCCTCCTCCTCCTCCTCCTCCTCCTCCTCCTCCTCCTCCTCCTCCTCCTCCTCCTCCTCCTCCTCCTCCTCCTCCTCCTCCTCCTCCTCCTCCTCCTCCTCCTCCTCCTCCTCCTCCTCCTCCTCTGTGAAGCAGCTGCTGTGGAGCTGCAGGAGATTTAGCTCCTTGATTCTGGGCATCTCTGAGCCTCAGAAACTGAAGATGGGCTCCGGTCCATTTTGGCCTTGTGGCTGCATGGTGGCTTCCAAAACTAACCGAGGGAAGCTCTAATGTCCACTGGTCCTTTCCCCTCATGTCCATTCTTCCTGTGAAGGAAGGCAGACATGTGAATTAATCGCCTGGGGTTTACTCCCTTAAATAGACATTTCATCTGGCTGTTAGAAGTACTCCTGCTGCTGCCCTTGAGCAAGGAAGCACTATAGTTGAACCCATGGCCCTGCACTGTGGTGTTCCACTGCTACTAAATAGTTATTATGGTTTAAAGCAGTTATATTGTGTATTGTCATTAAATTACCAGATATTTCCGACTTTTGGAAATACATAGCCTACACTGATTAGACTGTGAGAGTGCAAACTTCTCCTCAGATAAATCATCAAACCGAAGAAAAACAGTTGCTTCAGTTTTAAGTTAAATGCATGTTTTTCTTTAACCGGCAATCCCCTTTTTTCGCCTTTCTCCAGATAACTCTCACAGCCTTACTATGGTATTTAGTAGAACTCAAGAACAATTTGTTTTCCTGACAAGGAGAAGATAAAGTCAATGATAACATATTATAGTAAGCACACAAATGCATACAATAATCCCAGATTATTTGGATAAAAAAGATCCATTAAAGATTGCAAATACCCAGAATTGATTCCAAAAATGAAAATAGATATATTGTAATAATACTCCCACCATCAGTGACAACCTTGTTACTGGAAACTTTTTTAACTCCCCGGTGCACCTTTCTAGTTCAGATAGAGACTGTTATTTCTGAGTATGTGATTGTCTGAGTCTTAGAGTTAAGTTTCAATCTGTCGCATGATTACTTACAGTAATGTGACTCCTGAGCGCTGGAGCCATGTGACCTTACATAACAGGGCTCAGTCTGAACATGTAAAGCAGAGACTGTGTACCACACTGTGGAGGCACTTTTTATCCCCACTGCCCCCTGTGAGTGCCATTGAGCAAGACTCTAACCCCCCTTACTACTTCCCCCTACTATCAGCTTGATTATTATACATAGACACTTGCTGCTACACCAAATAGTCTTGTATGCTGTTATCGGGACACATTGGGCTGCAGCTAGCGATTATTACAGTAATCGGATACAAAAAAACTTAAACAAAGCCTAAGACTTTTAATAATCAGGTTATTATAAGTTGATTGACAAATAGTTATTGCCCTATAACGACACAATGACTTCTGGAACCGTCATACAGATGTGCAGTTATGAATGAGTTATTTGCACACATTTGCATATATAGTGTTAAGTGAGGTTTGTTCCACCTGGAATGTTAAATACTTTTTTCAATAACGAAAATAAATGTAACTAAAGGAAAGTGCCGCAGCCTCGCCCCTTTGCTCTTATAAAGGTCAAACCGTATGTTAATATCAGATTTCCATGTTGTAGTTTTACGCACAAACAACTATTACCAGCTGAACTTTACTGTTTGTGTGGCAACTCTGCTCGGACGTAGATTCACTTTTATTCCTTTATTAGCATTAAGCTTAGGGAAAAAGCACAGCTTGAGCTTGGTCAGTGAGACAGTATCAAAACCAAATTGCAGCATCTCCATACTAAGTGGCCATTGA